GCTTGAAGCAACATATCTTTCCATATACCACTAAGAACCAAGTATAATTGTCCATGGAGGAAATATATACACTTTTTATGTAAGGAAATATATACACCTATAATGGTATTTGCCTAAAATCTAGAGTCATTAAAATAACAAGACTCACGGCCAATGGTTGGATCCTTAGCAAGAATAGTTATAGCCTTGCCGGGGCAAGGTTAGGTGTTTGAAACTTTTAAAATATCCTAGATTTTGTGGGCCAGCTAGCTTGGGTGGGCTAGGAAAACCTTGCTAGCTCAGGAGAGCCAAATCGGCTGGCTTCCGATGGCAAACTTCGCGCGCGGAAAAATCGATGACCCACTCATGACAATGATTTTCACGGGGCAAGGCTGGTAAGAAAAAGAACCAAACTGTTTGACCAGGCAAGGTTGGCAAAGCGAAAGCTGGCTAGCTGGGCTAGCCGAGCAATTTGCTTACTGTAACCAAATGCTCCCGGAATTGCCAACAAATGAAGCATGAGCCGCGGCCAAGCGAGTGAAGCACATTGCTTGATAGGCTGGCCCACACCAGCGGACGCGTGAGCGCCAGTTGACCATTGGGCGCGGCAAGCACTTCATAGGCGCTCCCTTAAGTGGGTCGTGAAGTGCTGAATAGCCACCAAGCATCGCCAGTACCAATTCCTAATAGAAATCACATACGGGGCGACGCCTATGGGGCCGCCTTGTTAGCGCGCTTGCTTTTGCTCACTACTCTGTTTTCTTCTTATTTCTTTGTTTGTTTTTATTTTTTTCTTAGTGTTTTCTAATTTTTTTACCGTCTTAATTCGGGTTTTCTTTTTTACTCATTCTAGTTGCTTTTCTTCTTGGGTTTTTTCTTTCTTTTCTTCTTATACTTTGGTTTTCTTTGTTCTTTCTTTGTTTTCTTCCATTTTTTGGCTTTCTTTTGTTTCTTTGTTAGTTTTGTATCAGTTTTATTTCTTTTGAACACATATCTACTTTTTTCTCATTACACAATGTATATTTTTAGAGCACACGCGAAACATTCTTCTGACCACACGCTTGACCCTTTTCAAATACATGCCATAATTTTTTGAAAATACAGTTTTGAAAAAAAAATACAATATATGGTAACATTTTTTCCAAATTTGCGTTGTACATTATTTTAGTGGCAATAACTGTTTTAACAACTAAGCTATTTACCCTAAAAAAACTACACTATTTTGTATAAAAATTGTATCTCTGTTTCTGAAAATTTCACTGACATTTTTCGGAAACACACGACTATTTTCTTAAAATGTCATGATACCTTTTTATGAAATGGACATTTTGTAACCTACATGAACATTTTTTTTACATTTGCATATACCCCCTCCTCCCCATAATATAAGATCATATTTTTTTGAATTGTTTGAATTTCTTACCACATGTGTCACGTGGCTATAAGATCACATATTTGTTGTACTACTAACATCTTATATTATGGGTTGGAAGGATTAACATTTTTATAATGTGATGAACAGTTTTTTGAAACATGGGAACATTTTATTGGCACAAATAATTTTCTTATATTACATGGATACTCTTTTTTTACATTGTATACATACTTTTGTAAAAACATTGTGTGCATTGTGTTGAAACGCGGGAATATTTTTTGATTGTCACGAACATTTTTCTGACAGTTATCAGCCAGTTTTTGTTACGTGCTAACTATTTTCTTGCGCTATGTTTTTTTTCCAAATTCATGTTTTTAAAATATATGCATTTAACTAAAAATACAAATAAATAAAGTAAAAAAAAAGAGGACAAAAAAGATTTTCGGGTGACATCAGCAGAGGAGCCACGTCCTACTGGGTCTTGCTGCACATAACCCTCATCAGCAGACGAGCCTGGACTGCGTTTTGCATGGGCTGTTAGTTGAACTAAGGCCTTTCCATCAAAAAACAAAAAGTTGAACTAAGGCCTACAGTTAAAAAAAAGTCCAAAAAAAACCTATCAGAGCCAAGTTTCGATCCTAGAACCTGTGGGTTATGGGCCCACCACACTTCCGCTACGCCACTCTGATTCTCTTGTTTAATTTGCGACGCCAACTAACATATTCGCGGCTTCTCAGCTACTCCCTCCGTTCTAAAATAGATGACTCAATTTTGTATAAAGTTAGTACTCCCTCCATCCAAAAATATTTGTCGGAGGAATGGATGTATCTAGACGTATTTTAGTTTTAAATACATCCATTTTTATGCATTTCTCCGACAAGTATTTTAGGACGGAGGGAGTATAAAATTGAGTCATCTATTTTAAAACGGAGGGAGTAGCAAGCAAGTCCGAACCTTGATGCACACATGGACGTACGGACGGTCACTGACCAAAACGGCACTGACCAAACCAGGCGCAAAGTTGCTTAGAAATGCACGATGGATTTCCCTATAAATACACCACGGTGTAACACGCCACTTAGATACGCATCTTAGCTACCTAGCTATCATCTTCCATCAGTGCCCACCAGCTAGCTATCAAGATGAGCAAGTCGTCGTGGCCGGAGCTGGTGGGCGTCCTGGCGGCGACGCAGATTGCACGCGATAGGCCTGACGTCGCCGTCGAGGTGCTCCCACCGGGCGCACCCCTCACGCCGGACTACAACCCCGAGCGCGTCCGCGTCTTCATC